GGCAGATGATCTTTGCTTTACACTTTCGCTGATGTTTACTTGCAAGTGTTCAATATGTTTTTTAATATAGCAGGAGAATACAGTGGTGCCATTCGTAACACTGTAATTAAGATTGCATCGACTTTTCCATTATATAAAACACTTTTTGTGAGGTTTCAGACTCAGCTGTAAAAATTCATTCCAGTTTGAGACTTGGCAAAGGAAGCCTAGGCATGGGGTGTGCTTCTTTTTATAAAATATGATAAAAATGTACTCGGTCGTGTTTATAATTTTACAGGCCATGTAAAACACCACAGGTTAGGCTTTTAGGAACACTGTATGCTTTGAAAGTCAGACTTTGAAAGTCCTAATGGACCACCAGATGAACTGGAAATCTGGATGGATGGTCTGTGTGCTTTAAAAACCAAACCCCGAACAAACCATGAACAAAATTGACATTCCTATTACTAAAAAGTTCATTAATTTATATCAATGTTGCACAGAAGCTGTGCTATATTGAGACTTTTTGTCCTCTGAAGAAGGAAGGGGGGAAATGGTTCTGTGATCCAAATACACTGAGCACTGAAAAAAGAAAGAGTTGAGACAGTTGCCTTGTTTGCATGACATGGTGAGTCAAACAATAACTTACTGGGGTCGTGCAAATGTGCAGGTTCCAAGAGAGAAGCTGACAGCCACTTTCCTCATTTTTTAAAATTGCAGTGCCATTCTGAGCTAAGCCAAAGTTTGGCTCCCTGCAGCTCATTTTCCCAACTTCTTTAGCTGAGTATTAGGGGGAAGCACTTGAAGAGGGGAGATGAAAGAAAGCGATAGGTGGGCAAAGGTTCTTCACTCTTCACCCATGTCCCACCACATCACATGTTTTCTATGCCATTGAGATACTTCCATTCTTAATCAACAGAATGGCCCTGGTGGGTTGCAAGGCCTGGTCCCCAGGTGTCAAGACTTACCATGAGAATACTGGTAGCATATTCATGAGAGAGTTTTCTGGAATCAACACTTAAGAATACAGGTCTTGTTTCACTGGCACAAGCTCCCAGTATCACATTGTTTTAATTGAAACAAATGACTTTTTAATCATAGTGCGCCGCAGAGTATCTGTCTTTAAACAAAGTCTACATATTTGGCCACAGATGGGACTTAACTTAAGCAGTGTTCATAAACATAACAACTCCCGTGAAGCACAGGACTGCCAACTTTAGAAGGAAAAGTTTCTGAACAGAAACAAACATGCATGCACGGCTGGTGTGTGATCCAAACAGTCACTTAGTGTGGAATGACAATCTGCTGGGTAACATTAGAATATTATAAGCTCATTAGAAACAACACACTTGTCCTACATATGCTCCCATAGCATACTGCACTGCTATCACAAGCAAAGAGCAGTCATTGTTTCTAGTAGGCTATAGGAACATAGGAAGTTACCTTATACCAACTGCCTTATATGAGTTGGGAGCTGCCTTTTACCATATCAGGCCATTGGCCCATCTCGCTCAATATTGTTAACACTGACTATCAGCAGTTCTCCAGAGTTTCAGATAAGGAATCTTTCCCAGCCCTACCTGGATATGCTGGGGATTGAACATGCATAGCACATACTCTACCACTGAACTATGGTTCTTCGGTCAAAAATAGAGTCATCAAGGTGGCTATCAGGAACAAAGGAAGCCATCTTGTACCAACTCAGACCATGGGTTCATCTACCCCAGTATTATCAACAAAGTGGTGTTCTACCACTGAGCTACATTTCTTCCTTCACCACCAAATTGTCTTGTCTCTCAGGGTTGGTTGTGGTAGTTGTTATTATTATTATTATTATTATTATTATTATTATTAGTGATGCCACTAAATTTAATAGTTCCTGAAGTAGAAATAAGAATCTCATAGTGCTCATCGCAAATAGTATTGTGGTCCCCAAATGTCTTCCGTGGCTCAGGTTTTAGCCCAAGACAGAGAAAGTTCCCCTTTGCTGCTTTCATCCTACTGATCTGTCCAACTCCATTGCAGGCACAAAGTTGCCCAGTTAGGTTTGGAGTTGGGAATCTGATGATAGAACTCTATTTTCTGATGAGATGGAGGGGGGGTACTTCTGTTTTTCAGCTGATTTCTGAGTCTACTGAGAGTGATTTATCCCTTCTGAGTAGGGTTTTCTTACAGAAGTCTTTTGTTTTTGTTGTCCTGCTTTGGATTTATTGCCAATTTTGTTTTGTATTCTATTCTATTATAAATTTTGCAAGCCTTCTCTGAGTGCCTTTTGGTAGACTAGAGTAAAAAATATCTAGAAAGAATAAATTATAACCCATCATGCATGTGTATCAGGACTTGAGAAGATGGTAAAGTTCCAAAAATGCTAGATTCCTTTAGATATCTGAGCATTTGCTACTCTGTTGTGGAATCAATAAATACATGATAGAAAACAGAACATAACCTCCACAAAGAAAGCAGCAATGGAAAAGGAGAATGAGTATAGAGCATCAAGTGTAGATAGGGAAATCGTGTCTGCCTTCTATTTGAACAACTGCCCTTTGGGGAGAGCTCATACACTGCCATGCACATGGTGGACATTTTCCCACTCCCCTCCTTTATTTTGCTTGTGTTGAACAAGCCAGATGACCTCTTGTTATGTGATGCATAACAAAAACCACCGGTAGTCATGAATGAGATAGTCATATGCTCCATCTGTTGTTACTGTCTACGTTAATGGCCCTCAATTGTTGTGTCAGGACCTACAAATGAGTCATGATTTGACCAAAGGTAGGTTGTACCTGCAGCACTAACAGCATATACAGCAGGACAAGTGCTAGCATTTGGGCCGACTGCGCACAGCCTGAAGGCCCCAGAGACTTGGAAGGGCCTCTCACTGTCCTCTCTGCTGGGCTCCTGGATGATTTGCAGCAGCAGACAGCATTGAGCAGTGCCTCTATTGAATGGCAGCCATAGATCTATGAAATTTGCTGATTTCATCAATCTATAGTTTTGGAATGACTATAGATCTATGAAATATTTTATGAATCAGTGGGCCAGGGCATTGCATTTGTGGGGGTCACTTGGCAGTTGGCCACCACAGATGGGAGAGGTTAGCTCCCATTTTTTAAAAATGCTGCCATCAGTCCACCACTGAAACGTGTTTGGGGACCTGGTGGAGGGTAGTGAATTCTTCTTTCACCCAAGCAGCACTTGTGGCAGAGAAAGCATGTGACTACTGCTACTACTTCAGCTACGACTAACATAGTTGGGCCCTGCTCTGGTCAGATGTTGGGGGGCATCATTGGCACTGTGTCAGATACCCTCTAAGTCTGGTGCCAACACATGCATGTTAAGGAGGAAGAGGAAGGTGATGATTTCATAGTTTATGTTATAGGTGGGTCCCATTTTTGAAAAAGATTGCTTCTCTACATGTTACAGCAGCTTCGTGAAGCCTGGTTGAAATACTTTCTGAGAGATGAGTTTTGAGTGTTATGAGGATAATGACAGAAGCTGTATTCACATGACAGTTCATTCCATTTTCATGACTGTTAAGTTCCACATTATATGTGAGCTTCCACACAATGGAAAAGCCACTTCTGGAACGATAGTGGAATGCAGTTCAAGTTTAGTACTCATTTCTGTGTCAGTTGCTTTCGGGGGGGGGGGGGGGAGGAATCCAATTGCAAATAATATGTAAATGTGTGCTAAACTTGCACTATAGCTCCAGAAGTGACTTTTCCATCGTGTGAAAGCTCAAATTTAATGTAGAAATGAACAGCTGGGGAAATGCAACAAACTGCCATGTGAATGCAACAAGAGTGACTCAAGAGGGGAATGTGCACATGTATCTCAATGCTGTCATTTGATAATATGGCAGATACACAGGGCAAGTCATGCTTCGTTATATACGAGTAGCATGGAGAACCCATTAAACATTGATTTCAGCTGGCATCCACATTGCTGGAGTGATGTGTAAAGTCAGCACTAAGCGGCAGACAAAGAGGAATTATTGGCTGTGGGTCTGATAGCTTTGGTCTCGTAATATGATTCCATCTTCCATCACTTCTTATTATAGAAATAACTGATATTTTAAAAAATAATTAAGTATGGCATTAGCTGCATGCAGCTGGGGTGGGGTGGGAATAGAAGTAGTTTTTTAATAACTTGCCTTCTGTGTTGCAGGTGGGTTTTTCATTTAAGACTTCTTCAGTCCTTTGGTGATATCCCACAACGAAACCATAAAATTGTACTTTTGATAACACTGCCTGTTGCTATGGAAATAATAATAATCATTCTTTGCCTTCACTTGGGAATCCAAATATATCCATATGCACTGTACAAACATGAATTAATTTGGTCTCACATCAGCCATGGGCAGGAGGCTAGGATTTTGCAGATGGGAAGTATTAAGCACAGAGGAAGTTTGTAGCAGAGCAGGGAATAGAATCACAGTGGTCTGTCTCTCAGCCCTCTTCTTTAACCACCAGATTATTGCTTTGCCTTACCCTGAAAACATAAAACTGTCATGTTAGTACAGGCTGAGCGTGAGGTTTCACTTTGGTTTAGCATCTCCAAATGGCTAAAAATCAACGGCCAGGTCATTTGTAAAAGATGTGCTCCAACTGCTCTTACCAGGGGCATTTCCTATTTTTTGTCCCTAGTAAATCTCATCCTTATGTTGCCTTTCAGAGTTTTGTTCATTTTCACACCAATGCGCTAAAATTCTTCATGTTTCTCTTATTCAGGGAGTTCAGTGCAATGTGAAGGAACCCACAGTTTTGCTGGATTGGCTCCGCTGGATGTTTGCACTGCACTGACCGCTCTACCACTTTGCTCCTCCCATTCCAATAAGCAGCAGCAATTCAACTGCTGGGAGGTCAGGCGAGTGCTGTTGCCCCACAGTGTTGTCTGCTACTGCTACGAACAGAGGAAGAAGCCTTATACAAAGTCATACCATTGGTTCACCCTGGTATTGCCTACACTGACTTGCAGTGGTTCCCCAAGAATTCAGGGAGGTAGTCTCTTCCAGCCCTACCTGGAGATGCTGGGGATTGAGCCAGGGACCATCTGTACGCAAAGCAGATACTCTACCACTGAGCTACAGCCTTTCCTGAATGCAAAACATGTGCTCTGTTTTTGAGCTATCCCCACCCCACCCCTGGGAGAAGAGTAGGTGCATCTTGACTGCAGTATGTATGACTGTGTGTATAGACTCATGGGTGCAACAATTCAGGGCACTGCTTCCCTTCTATCACCTCCCATCTTCTGTCTAGACTGAAAATGTTGCTAAATGGTGTAAGTAAAATCGCATGCTTTTAAACGTTATTGTAGTCATCTTCTCCATGTCCTTCTGCCATCTGGAGTCAGAGGACAGGAGGGATGGTTATTTTAAATGGATTTCTACAAGGAATTCGACGATTTTGACCTGAGTTTTGATCACATCAGATTGCCTCTTGTATCAAACAGCTGTTTATGTCTAATTCACTTCTGCATTATTGCCTTTTAAAAAATCCCAACTAACCATATGCAAAAAGACATATATGTATAATATAGGTAAGGGAGCTATGTCCCATGCCATGTTATGTTTTTACAGCATAATTTTATGGATATTAATGCATACATATTTTATACAGTTGCAAGCATTCTTATATTAATCCCAGAGTTATTTTCTGGTAACTCTGGGAAACCTGGAATGTATATGCATATGGTATTATAGGTATAATGAAGAGTATACTAAGGGTTGTTTTTGTTGTGAGTGGATCTGGTCAGAGAAAAATCTCACTTCTTGCTGAGATTAAGGAATGATGTGGGAATCTTTTTTTAAAAAAACAAAAACCTTTGTGAATAAGTTTAATGCCAAGTTATTTCTTTTTTATATTAGGATTTTATTCTGTGAACCACCCTGAGACCTGCAGGTATAGGGTGGTATATATATTGATTAATCAATTAATTATCCATCCTTACGGTGAGGGTCTTTTCAGTTGTGGCAATGGGTCTATGTTTCCCCTGGCACCAGGCATAAAAGAGTCAATTCCTTCTTTTCATCCTTTATCTAGATTTTGGGGGTTGCGGCTCCTTTTGCTAAGAGGGATGGGGGGAATAGTTGTACACATGCTTTTTAATTATTTTAATGATTACACAGACTTTGTGCAAAAAAAGACAGCAGGCTTGGGTCTGTAAAGATTTTGGGTCCTTCCAAAACTGAACAATTAGACACACACACAGAAACACACACACACACACACAATAAAAGATAACTCCAAAATGTCTAGACATTTTACATCTCTGATATGACATTAAGTATTGTACAGTGAATGTGCCTAGCTGAATTTCATTAGCAGGCACCATATGGATTCCAAATGACTGATAAGCTTTAGTACGGCACGTTTTTCCATCCCACACCTTATACAGGATATTCATGTGGCCATTCTGAACATTAAATTGTCTAATAAAATAACAGATGAGGAAGGAGAATTTGCTGGTAGGAAGGATGGTTGCATCTATAAGCTGTTTTAACATAAGAAGAGCTTGCTGGATAATAGTGCAGCATCCTGCTCTCACGGTGACCAATCAGATGCCCGTAGAAAACCTGGAAGCAGGACCTGAGCACTAGAATGAGCAGTCTTCCTCACTGTAGTGTCCAGCAACTGGTATTCAGAAGCATTGCTGCTTCCTAAGCTTACTCAGGAGTTGTTGGTGAAGTACAGTACTTTGTCAACTGCTTTTTGAATGTCCACACATACTATGTCAACTAGTCCACCTTTATATACCTGTTGACATGCTCAAAGAACTCTAAGAGAAGTTCTGCTCCAGGAAGGCTTGCACATGTATATGCTTGTCTATTTTATATTTAACAATACTTTCCACTAGTTTACCTGGGGAAGACATTAATCACCTGGACTGCAATTTCCAGGATCCCCCATGATGCTACATTAGCCACTTTCCCGCCCTCAGGTATGGAGGCTGATTTTAGGGACAAGTTACTGGAGAAGTTTCTTACTACTCTGTGCAAGCTCCCTGGTCTCATGAGAAATAAAGTTAATTAACCATTAACTCAGCTTGTAGTTAGTTTCTACATAAACAGCTGAAGACAGCACAAAATGGGGTATGAAAAGGGTGCTATCCAACATTAGTCTGCCAGCAATTCTAGAATACTGTGACTATCCTGCCAGAATGGAGTGGAGAGAAGAGGATTGAGACTGGATGAAGGGCTGGGAGAGTAATAATTTCATTCTGCATATCATGTCTAAAGTCTGAAGATGGTGTGTAAATGTCTGTAAGGGGGAAAAACTCTTCTTGGAGAGATCACAGTTTACAATGACCTCATCCAGGAGAAATCTAAGTGCCATATGTTCTGCTGGCCTGGTTTTAATTCAATGAATGCTGTTCAAATGCTAATATTCTTGGAGGAACAAACCTTTTCGTAAAGCGATTGCAAGAATGTCTCCTCCTATGTCTTGTTTTGCTTGTGCTAATTTTTAATCAGCTCCAGACTCTGGGATCCACACACAGTAGTCCTACATTTAAAGAGAGCGCACAGTTACATAACTTGCTCTTCTTCGGCCAACACAACACGTCTAATGGGAAGCCAGAGCTGGGAAATGGATAAGTATCAAGACACCTGTGTTCTTTAAGAATCCAAGAATCGGACAATACCGAAAACAAATCCCCTCAGATGTTCAAATTAGGCTGTACGCAATCTTTGGCAATCTGGACAGAATCCCCTCACTATTTTCATTATGTTGCTTTTCATACTCACTTGAGTCATCGGGACTTCTTTTTCTCTGCTTTGACACCTTAGACTTAATGGACCCAGTTCTCTTCTGTCTCTGCTTTGGCACCAAGGTGGGATTTAGGGTGGAATTAATCATAAAGGAGCAATGGCGTAGAAGATCTACATCACTTGCTATAAATCTTGGTCTTTTTTTATGCAGCTGTTTAACAAGTCAGAGACAATTTGCAATACTTTTTTAAAAAAACAGATTGATAAACTACTAAATCTCAGGTCATGAAAGAAAGTATGAACAAATATGAAATCTATTTTAAAATGTGCAAGTAAAAGAACCCTGTTTCTCCCCTGCATGCTATCAAAGATGACTCAGACCTTACTTGAGTCTGTGAGGGAACATAAGGAAACAGACTGATTCTAAGGTATATAAAGAGGCCAACCTATTCATAATCCATGCTATCTGGCCCTAAAGGATTACACTATTGTTGTTGTTTTATCCCTCTGTATGTAGTTTTCTGGAGTGGAATTAATAGAGGGCATAGTTCAGACAGAAAGGCATTCCAATCCAATTCATTCCATTACACTCACAGGCCTTATCAAAGGTAAACTGAAGCTGGGGAATCCAACATCTACTTTCCATGTGCGTCTGTTATTTTGAACAGTTTCCCATAGTTACCTCAGTTTTCTATAGACAAAGAATATTCATCTATCCAGGCTTTCTACCTTAGAGATTCTTTTGCCTTATAAGCTCTAGCATTCCATACTGGAGACTTTCCAATAGTGTGTTGTGTTTTATACATGTTGTTCTGGGCATAACTTTAAAAGTGGGAGTAACTGTAGGCTATATGGTTATGCATGTAGAACAGTTTTCTCCACTGAAGAAAGGGAGGTGTTTGTTTGTTTTTCAGGTTGTCCCAAAAGCTTAAATCCTTGGTTGATAAGAACCTAAAGAGAGCCTACTGGAGCAGCTCCATGGCTCATGTAGTCTAGCATCCTGTTCTCTCAGTGGTTAACCAGATACCTGCGGGAAACCTGCAAGCAGGATTTGAGCACAACAGCACTCTTCCCTTTTGTGGCTTCCAGCAACTGGTTTTCAGAAGCATTACTGCCTCCAGCTCTGGACTAATGGTATAACAAGAGGACCACTTTGAAGATGGGGTGGTGGGTGCCAGGTAGATAGGAGAGAAATAAAAAGTAAGTTTGTTCTTAAAGGGTAGGTAAGGTAAAGGGACCCCTGACCATTAGGTCCATTCGTGACTGACTCTGGGGTTGCGGCGCTCATCTCGCTTTATTGGCCGAGGGAGCCGGCATACAGCTTCCGGGTCATGTGGCCAGCATGACTAAGCCACTTCTGGCGAACCAGAGCAGTGCACGGAAACGCCGTTTACGTTTCCGCTGGAGCAGTACCTATTTATCTACTTGTACTTTGACATGCTTTCGAAATGCTAGGTTGGCAGGAGCAGGGACCGAGCAACAGGAGCGCATCCCATTGCAGGGATTCGAACTTCTGGTCGGCAAGTCCTAGGCTCTGTGGTTTAACCCACAGCACCACTGACCCAATCTGCACTTTCCAAAACAAGATGTAAACTGAAACACAGCCATCCTTCAAAAGTTGCGCTCAATTTTGCAAGGTTGTTTCAAGCTAAGTAATGTGTATTACATAAGTTAGAGTAAAGTGTGTGTGTGTGTGTGTGTGTGTGTGTGTGTACAAACACATACATACCGTACATAAGTTAATTAAAATACAGTGAGCCCACAACCTAGGTGTATTTAACATGTGCACATTCAGCTTTACACATGTGGCAAAAGGAGTGGTGATGGAAAGGGTGCAAGGTTCTGGGAGAAAATGACTTTGGCAATCCCATTCACCTTCTGTTGGAGGACAGAGTTGAGTTTGTTTTGTATTTTCAAGTGGCAAAATGTATTGGGAAAGAAGAGTTTGCCCTTCCAGAAATGGCTGCAGAGAGCAGCTTCTCAGGAGACCTTTGGAGATCAGATGTCTGCTGAGGAATCTTACATCTGCTGCAGTTGGGTAATGGTGGTGTCTGACTGCTACTGTCATTTGTTTTATTACGCTGTGGGCGATTGTGAGAGCTGTTGTTTTGATAGCTTTCAATTGCTTTATTGTTGACTGTTCTGAGCCCTTGAGTTGAGGAAAACTGGATATATATTGTTTTCTCTCTATATATATATATACCCTCAGTTTCTGCTTAGTTTCAGGATTGGCAAGAGTGTCCCTGTTTTGCATGTTTCATTACTGAATTGCCCAAAGCTTCCCTACTTTTCATTTAAATTCTACTTCCTTCCTCTCTTATAATCTTGGACAAGAAATTAAAGCAGGGTGTGGCTCATCATTTCTCATTTGGCAAAGGACAG